CAGAGATAGAGTTGACTTTAAGCAAACACTTGGAACTTGATACATACGTGAGGCTCTGCTTCGAAATGCTCTAACCTGAAATGTTGTGGGCAAATGACAACGTTTGCAATTGATCAACGAAATTTTCAGCTATAATATGAGCATCCTCTAAACAGCATTTATATCGTATTGCAAGATTTATCGCAAATGATGAGGTCGCTGGATGAAATTTGTGCGCGATTGCATCAAAAGAACAGTCAGTTGCTTCAGCAGCAACAACAAAACACCACCCTTATCGCTACTGTTAATAATCCGCAAATTCAACTGACTGTCGATACTGGAAATCAATCAACATTCATTAATGATGCTGAACTATCGGTGATTAACTACGAGAAATTATCCGATTGCTCATTAGCTGATACGAACAATATCAGCAAAGTCAATGATGCGGGTGACGATCGCAAGAAAGTTGATATAAAATTGAACAGTAATAATACTGATAGTAATGTTAACTTGAATGGTAACGCCAACCAGCAGACGAATAAAGTTAGTTTCAGGATGCTTTCCTCTAAACTTAAACTCTTCACTACGGGTTTCCTCGAAGATCTCGTAATATTTTGAGTACCGGCATTGATTTAGTAGTGTTTTTGTGGATTTTGTTAAAACTTCCTTATCAACTTATCATAAATGTCCAGAAATAACTTCGAAACACTTATTGCTCTACAAACTTCGAAATATATCTCTTCGCATTATTGCCGTTCTTCAGGATGACGGCTCCAATTCAGTGATCTATTTTAAAGAATACGATCCACACAAGAATCGTTTCAAAAGTGCTGTTAGGTACTCACCCATTATCAATGCTGATATCTTGCAATCACCGTTACGTTTGATCACTCCTATTGATCCGATAAACAGCGATAATGATTATGATCAACCAATATTTTCATCAAATTTCGTAGGTTTCCATTGCTTATCTTCTAAATAATTTGTCATTGCTATCCAATATTAGTCACGATGCTAGCATTTTCACCAATGCTCTTGATTGTGATGCATTCTGATTAATTCTATTGTCAATTTTTGGAATCGTCATTAGTTTACTCTCGCAATCATCAGTGATTAGGTATTATTGCTGTTATTATTGTCGTTTTAACAAGTATTATTATTCTTTGTTATCAGAAAATACTTCATATGAGAGGATTACTCGTCGGGCCATTTGATAGAATTTGCAATTATTGTATGTAGATTGTGTTAGCTGAATGTAATCACGTAATAATAAGAAGAATTGAGTATATCGCTTCATTATTATCATAAATCAACAAAGTTATCCTATGAAACTCTTCAAAGTTTTTGGACTTCTTAAACTTTCTTAAAGCTTCTGATTGCATAAGAAGGATGCTGAACGTTTACGTCTATAGGGCAGCACTAGCGATGGCTATAAGAAATCAAAATCTCGATTGACACCTGTCGTGAACTCATCCAAGGCGATGAAGGGTACCACAGTTGAAAACATTGGTACGAATGTTAATCTTTCGTCATCTTTGTTGATGGCTATGTCGCCAACGTACTCGAAATCGAGCAAGAAGTAAGAAATTTCTAAAGTTTTCCTTAAAAAATATCGATAAATTGCAAATTTCAAAAGAAGACGTTTGCCTTAAAACAATTTTGATTGAATCTTTTTTATCATTAGAATAGTCATTGTTTTCATG